CACATAAACAGTGGCTACAAGAGCAATTCAGAGGCTAGAAATATTTCAGCGAGCAACTCACTTGCTGTCATCTCAAAGCCGTCCACCATTATACAAGGCACAAGTCAGGAGTGTGATGAAACACTCCTCACATGCCTGGATGGCTGCAGCTCCAACAACACTCAAGAAGCTTGACACGATCCAGGACAAAACAGCGCACTTGATTATCACCACATTCACTCCCTCCACAAAAAACGCTCAGTAGCAGCTATGTATACTGTCTACATGATAGTACACCACAGATCCTCAAACAATACCTTCCAAACCCAAGACCACTTCCATCTAGAAGGACAAGGGCAGCAGTTACATGGGAACACCACCACCTCCAAGTCACTCACTATCCTGATTTGGAAATATGTCGCTGTTCCTTCACTGTAGCTGGGTGAAAATCCTGGAATTCCCTCCCTAACGGCATTGTGGGTCAACCTACAACACATGGACTGCAGCAGTTCAAGAAGGCAGCTCAATACAACCTTTTCCAAGGCAACTAGGGACAGCGAAAAAAAATGATTCAACAGAAAGCCAAAATCAGTAGCAAAGGTACGGTGTCTGTGGTCGGCTCAAGAAAAACAGCTTTGGTCTTCCTGATGTTTAGCTGTTCCAAGTTGTGATTCATTCAAGACTGGATGTCTGAGAGGCAGTTTGATAGCACAGAGTCCATATAGTGATTGCAAGACATGGAACTGAGAGAGAGCTAGGTGTGGCCAATATACAGGTGAAATCTGATGCACCAACTTTGAATATACTTATCAAGGGGCTTTATACAGATGATGAAGGAAACTGAGCTAAGAATAAACTCTAGATTTCTGAATGGGTATTTCAGGGTCATCCAACTAACCTTTTTTTTCTATTCATTTGAGGGATGTGGACATCGCTGGCTGGCCAGCATTTCTTGCCCATCCCTACTTGCCCTTGAGGAGGTGGTGGTGAGCTGCCTTCTTGAACCGTTGCAGTCCTCCTGATTCGTTCTGTAAGCTTCTATTTCTACTCGGAATTGATTTAATTGGATTTATATTGACAGCCTCCAATTCCAATGGAACTTTCTCTGTACAAACCTGCACAAGACTGAAACAGGATTTGCTGGTTGAGACACAGACATGTGCCAAACATGTTATGTACAACAAATTGTACGCTACTCTCTCTCTTAATTCTCCGAAACAGTGCTATTATACAAAGCCAGTGAGGGACCTCAAAATATATGGCACCTTGGGAAATCATTTTCTAAATCATAGAAGCAAGCAGCAAAGGATGAAGCCATTCAGTCCATTGTATCTCTGCCAGTTCTTTGGAAGTGCTATATAATTAGTTTTACTCCCACATTCTTCACACACTTCAAGCAAATAACTCATTTCTTTTTGCAAGTTACTGCTGAATCTGCTTCCACCACCCTTTCGGGCTATGCATTCCAGACCATGAACATTTCTGCATTAAAAAAAAATCTCCTCTCCAGTTTTCTTTGCCAATTATCTTAAATTTGTACCCTCTGGTTACCAGCCCACCTGATAATTGGTGTTATTTTAAATGGGTTATTTTGCCAGTGTTAAGATAACACCAATTGCAAAGTTTTCATTTCAATTAATTTGTTAAAGGACATGATGACTTTTGGAAAAAAAAATCTATTTGTCCAGCATTATTTCTGTTTTCTGAACTGTTGAAGTTTAATAATTTATTCTGAAATTACAGCAGTTAGTCACACGCTTTCAATGATGTTCTGAGCACCTTCACCAGGGAAATCAATTTTCACCAGTATTATTTTGCCTTGTTAGCAGCAAGACATAGTGACTAATGCTTGACTTAAAACAATACACTATCTGCCCTCCTCAGCTGAATTGATGATAGCAAATGTACAAATGTCATTGTGTCCATGGAAACGACACACTTTGAGGAGTGACTGTTCACTAAACAGCTCGCAATCATTCACACACATCCAGCAGCATTTAATGGTTATTTCGAGGTCAGTCATGAGCGCATAACCACAAATTCAAATCTGCAATTCAAAAATTGCAGAAAAAAACTACCCAACAGAAATTGACTTTCACACCTTGGTGTGGATTTTAACTTTCGGCAATGGCGTAAAACTGGTACAACTGGATCGGAAGTCAATGCACGTAAAAATCAGCAACATAGGAAAACAGTCTGCCAATTTGCTAACACACATTTGACACAATTGCGTGGTCAAAATCAACCTCATGCTAGTGAATTACAATTTTTTTTGATAATATGCATTAGTTCCCAAGTATTCCACAACCATAAATCCAGAATGTTAAACATAGTGAAACTTGAACAGGCAATAAGAAGAGAATCATAGAACAAAACATTCTCATGGACTGAAATATCTGTGCTATTTTATTCTGCTGCATTCAGGTCTTACTCTTTTGGTAAGAAGGTGTCAAGCTGGATGAACACAGCAGGCCAAGAAGCATCATAGGAGCAGGAAGGCTGACGTTTCGGGCCTAGACCCTTCATCAGAAATGGGATCAGAGATAGTAGGAACTGCAGATGCTGGAAAATCTGAGATAACAAGGTGTAGAGCTGGATGAACACAGCAGGCCAAGAAGCATCATAGGAGCAGGAAGGCTGACCCCCCCTACTCTTTTGGTATCTTGTTGTAAAGGTAGACCCTAATAGGTCCTTTACTGGAGAAGAACCACAAGCCTCATAAAAGAAGCTAGCTGTGTGAAAATATCCCCATGATCTCCTGATGGTGTAGTGAAGAAGTAAAATGATTGTTCTGCACTAAGATAGGAATAGCTCAAATTCTTGGTCAGTCCACTGTCTATGTGGAACAGATAATCTCAGAATCAAAGTGGCTGATCTTGATTTTGTACAATAGTATTAAACAGGTGACAGTGAGTCAGCAGCCTGCTCTATATCTCCACTGAGATTTATTTCTATTGATTATCAACCTAACGGAAGCAGGAAAAATTTTGCAGCTTCACAAGGTGAATGAACTCAGTGGCCTCCATAACAATCTTCAAACTTTTTTAAGATGCACTTTATTGGTTTGTTCTGCTGGTCTCCTTAGTGTAGTCAATCACTCGATGATTAATGTCATTGGGAAACTGGCCTTTAAGTTCATAAATTGCACCCTACCACCTCACTCCCCACTAAAGCCCCAACCACAGCAGCCATGGTCCAAATATACTTGGTAGCCAACACTACCAAGAGTGCAACTGCGGGAAACTGGTTCTTTGCCATAGTAACCTCATTTAATTTGGATTATAGTACAATGGCTCACTTTGTACATAGTTCCTACTGTAGATAGCGCACAGCATTTTATGGCCCCAATTTTAAAAGTGTCTGGTTTTCAACTCGGGCTGTTAAGGAGCAGAAAGCTGCTATATCCAAAACCTCTTTCAAAATTACCCCATAGCCCTCAGTTACTGTTCTGCAGAAACACATTCTCCTGCCCCAGAAATTTCAGGACATCACTGTGTGGACACACACTTGAACAGGAGTCCCTTAGATGCTGTTCCCTATGCCACTCGTGCGTTATTCCTGGTACCTACTATTCACTCATTCCTGACTCAAAGTCTGTGCTTGTTAGTTTTCAGATTACTAAATTGTAGCCATTATCATTATGGATGAGGGGGAAGGAAGTAAAGTATCTTCACAGATTAATTAACTCCTACATGAAAATCATAACCATCATTTCAATGCAGCAATACCATTCATGACAAATAATGTTTCCCCAGCAAATTCTATAAGCTTGTCAACCCTGTGAAGAATGCAACTCCCGCTGAGCTGAGTAGCAGAAGAAACAAAAATCAAGAACAGTGAAGTGCTTTTCAACATCAGTGCCAACAGTCTACCGCAATTAGAGAACAAAAATCATTACAGTATCTCAAACTGCCATGAACGACACTAGCAAATTCTCACCAGCCATCGTACAATTGTATTTTTCATAAGACATGACCAATTACTTTGAATTTCAAATTTATAAAACACTATTAAACTAAAATGAAGTAATGACAAAATTCTCATTCTCTCTGCACATCTTTATTCAACAGGTATGTATAGCAACTAACCAAGCTGAAAATATTCTCTTCATAATATTCGTACTGAAACTGTAGGTGTAATGTTTACATCCAAAGTAGGAACATGGGGTTTAATATTAGGGGAGTTAAAATTAAAATGCTTGATAGATTTGATACAAAGGCTGTAGTTACACTATGTCTCCTCTTGACATGATGAGATACCTGACCAAGGGTGTTTTGGGAAACATTAGTTCAGCAGTTGTAACAGCCTGTGTAAGCACATTATTCAATGCTGTACAGAACAAAGAGATAAGGAAAACTAAGGGTACTTTCTAGATAGTTGAGCCACCTTGGAAACTAGCAGACCCAAGACTGAAGGTTGAAATAACAAGGGTCTGCATGAAATTAAGAACTATAAATATGTGCTAAAAACTCTTATATTATTGTAAATTTCTTTGGATAATCAAGATCTTCTCCCTGGCATATTGCCAAATTCAAATTTGCTTCCTTGACTCACATAGATTTGAGAGTGGTCATTTTTCACGATAGCTATATCTATGTTTTATGACAAAGAATGCACAGACAAGATCTTTTTCTGCAAAACTAAACAAGTAGTATGAATGCATGCAACCATTAATGGCCCAATGGTTACATATTAACTCCAGTGGTATCATAAATTAATAGTTATAATTTATACTTTTACAAAGCTGTTGGCATGTTAGTGAAGTTATTGAAATATAAAGATCACGAGTATACTTTTAGAAAACGGCAGACTTTCTGATGCAAATTTACCACTGTACCTCATGTGGTGCAAATCAATCATTGCTGCACTCTGCAACTGAAATCAGACACTAATCGGATAAGCAATGCAATTGTACATCTTCTGCATTAAAGTATCAAGTAGACCTTGTTGCTATGGGACACTGCACAAGTTTTTAAAATGCGGATACTACCACAAAGTATCTAAGCAAATAAATATCTTACCTGCCAAAATATGGAGTCTATTGTGCTGCCATGAAAACCTTCCCGCACCTCAGATGACAACAGCTTAGGGCCGAGTATCGTCATGAATTCATCAAAGTCCACTTGCCCATCACCTGCGATACACAACGAGGTAATAATCAGTCTTGTTAAAGCTCCAGTTTTGATGATTTTCTTCTTAGGCTGGTGGAATTAACATCATGTTCTTTCATGAGATTTTCCCCAGTTTCCCACACTTACATCTAAGATCATTATAACTCCACATCTCACTCAACTGAACTCCTTCTTAGCTGAAGGGGCAGTGTAATGAGAAAGAAGCATCAAACGTAGGAAGAAATGTTCAGGAAAAGAGATGTATTTATCTTCCTGACCACTTTGTTGCTGGTAGATTCTTCTTAAGTGCGCATGTAAGCAATCAGAGCTCATCCAATGGAATTTCAGAGTTTGGTGCATTATAACCTGGCTATGGCTGATACCGTCAACCAGAAAGATGAGTAGGTTGAGTCGATGAGCCAATTGGTCACAACACTGAGATGCTGCAAGTGCTAATGGAAGAGGCATGAGAGGAACACACAACTTCGGGGGTCACTATTAAAAGCTTTGTTATATTTAGTTTTCCATTTGAAATTGCAATTTGCTCCAATATACAGTGCAAAACATTTGAAACTTTATGCATGTATTTATCAAGGTTCATAGAAATACAGCCCACACACGCTGCAAACTCCATCAGTCCTTTAATCCTTCTATCCTTTTTCCATTGTTTCCTCATAGTCCATCCCAGCCAATCCTGGCCACACTGAAGCCTGTGTGCCTGTGCCCCATTATGTGTTCCATCACTAAAATGAACAGACAAAGCACTACAGTCCCACACAGCTCTACATCAGGAATGTTTATTTTTAAAATCTGCACTCATACTATATTCTAAACTAGATCTGAGCAAGATTCTGTTCACAAGAGCTTGATTTTCTATTTCTTTATTCTTGTTATCAACTGCAGCATACTATTAGCCTATTTTGATTGCCTGTTGCCCTATAAGCAAACATTAATGGCCCTGGTCTGCTGAATCCCTTTGTTCCTTTAGCCTATCCAAACATCATAACGTAAATGCTTTTCTGTGAACATTGTTTTTCCATGTACCATTCTTGCACTTAAAGCCCACACCTCACATTTAAGTAACAAAATATCTACTATTGATTTATGAGTAAAGACTAGCCAGGGGCCCTTCAGTTCTCCATGCCAGCTCAAAGATTCCTCACTTCACTCTCAAACATCGCGTAATCCATAAAATAAACATATCGGCAATCTTTACCCTTTTTTGAAAGAAGAAAATTTTCTTTTGATGTAATGTCTGCTAAATCAAGCAGCTGCTTTCTGCAAATAACAATTTAATGAGAAATTCAGTTATATATTTTTCATTGCATATTTTTAAAATATAATTATTTCCACTGTCAGCTTTCCAATTATTAGGTTTTATTTTACCGTGATGTTATTAAATCCTGAATTTAAAGATCTATGTCCTATACATCTTTTGGTACAAGCTGCAACAAAGTTAATTTGTAAAGAAAATTAATGCAATGCATTACTGCTGACTGCTCTCTGCCTGTTAGCACCTCATTCTATTGCTAGTTTTATATTAAGGTTAATTCAGTCTCCACAACCAATAGCCTGTGTGTTGGTACTTATGCAATTTGCTTTCAATAACTTTTGAGAGTTTGCAAGGATCACACTATTGCTGTTGATCAAGTCTGTAACTAATGTTACCTAAATCACACTTGCTAAAAGCTCAATTGTATAACTTTCAGAACATTTTCAACTTAGTAAAATAATTAGTTCTACATTAAAATAATATAACTTACACAACAGAAATTCTACATGTCTGCAACAAAGAGCTCTGGAACTGGAGTCTGAACTCTCTGTCATTGGCAGTATGGACATCGATCCATGTCTATCTTTCTGAGAGCCCTCAGTCTTGTTTCATATGAAGAGACTACGCCATAGCAAACCACAATGTCAACAGCACAGAGTCAATGTCAGTTAGCCTCAACATAACCTCCAGATATTTTTTGTTGTTTAACAGGGTTTTTATTCTAGTCAACACTGAGCAGTGCAAGCTGTAACCCATAGCCGATTAGAAGTGATTAACTATGTGAAGCAATTGCACTTTAATGAGGTGTAAAGGACTGAGTTCCTGTTTCCACCCAGAGCACTTGACATACTGTGATTTGGTAAGTTTATAATTGACTATTATGGAAATGGTAAAATAGCAAACATGTTTTTGGTCAAAAGCACGTTAGCTGAAGGGTGATAAACAAAGCACAGACAAACATTCCTTGCCTGGAGATGAAGACAGACTTGCATGAATTAATCAATTCAGTGACATTACAAAAGGAGAGTCTCAGGACCAAATATATTTGTTCAGATGAACTGGGGTTAGTTAATGAAGGATTACTAGAAAAAGAAACAGGAAGTGCTTGAAAAACTCAGTAAGTCTGGCAGCATCTATGAAGAGAGAAATAAAGTTAATGTTTCATGTCCAATATGACTTCTTCAGAACTATATAGAGTCATATTAGACTCAAAATGTTAAGTCTTTCTTATTTTCATTCATTCATGGGATAAGGGTGTCACTGGCTAGATCAGCATTTATAGCCTTTCCCTAATCGCCAGAGGGGAGTTAAGAGTCAATCACATTGCTGTGGGCCTGGAGTCACATGTAGGCCAGGCCTGGTAAGGATGGCAGTTTCCTTCCCTTAAGGACATTGGTGAACCAAATGGCTTTACCAACAATTGACAAATGTCCCCAGGACATTACCCAGGTCTCAGTGCAGCGATAATACCACTAGGCTATCACCTCTTCTATCTCCACAGATGCTCCAGACCTACTGAGTTTCTCCAGCATTTTCTGTTTTTCTTTCAGATCTCCAGCGTCTGCATATTCTGCTTTTACGAAAGAGTAACTAGACTCAGGTATGTACATGTGATTGAGCACCAGTTTAAATATTATAAATTCTACCTTTAGTTTCAAGTAATTCTTTGACTTAATTTTTAAGCATAATTTACAGCAATTTGAAAACCGGAAAGTAGAGTTAGTTGACATATGGGATTTTATCTGCGATACAGTCTAAGCAGTTGGGAGAGAGAAAAACCCTTGGTGGGAAAGTGTAATTATAATAATTTTATATAATCAGCATAGGCACTTAATGCAAAATAAAAAGAGACATTTTATCTAGGATTTAGATAGCACCCTTCCTGGCCTCCATCATCCTATAGGGCTGAATCCTATGTTATTTTGGGCTAAGTGTCAATTTTGTTGAGTATGACGGAGGATTTCTCCATGCAAGGCCGTGCAAGTTTTCTCTTATCAAACTCATTTGATTAACTACCCACTCTGCCCCGTGGCAGCCCGTGTGCCCAATTCTCACTCCATTCTAGAGTTAGAATTAGATTTATTATCACAAGCTTTCAGAGCGTAGCCCATTACTTCACCTGACGAAGGGGCTATGCTTCGAAAGCTTGTGATTTCAAATAAACCTGTTGGGCTGTAACCTGGTGTTGTGTGACCTCTGACCTTGTCCACCCCAGTCCAAGACCGGCACCTCCACGTCATCCCTTAGGAATAGCAAAGGAGGCCATGTCCCTAGACCCTCCCAGCTCCATCCAAGCTCACCATCCAGGTCAGTACTGCCTCGACAGTATAGAGGAGCAGCTAGCTGTGCAGAAAGGTCAACGGACTTTCTCTGCTCTTCCAGGATTCAGAAAGTAGAATGAACATTCTTTCATCCTCTACTCTCTGCTACCTCATACTCACTTTATCTCTGCTACTGCATTCAGCTCCCACCAAGGCTCATGCTCTACTGCTCTCACCATTACATGAAACATCTTCTGTCATTCACACTCCCCAAACTCCCAAACTATTAACCCTGCATGGCCTTTACGCTGCCTGCTCACTCCCTCAGGTCACCTCACCAATTTTCTGCTCCTTGCACCAGCACTAACAGCTGTGCCACACACTTTCAATCTACTCAATCCCTCCTTTCCTGTCACTGCAGGATAAAATAACTACAACATGGCACAGAGGGAATGAGTGGAGGGGTGCCCAACATTAGGCTCCTCACCCCCTACAGAGAGGACCAGGAGTGCTCCAACAGAGATGCCAAGACATCCATGAGTAAGTACCACTCTTCATTCCATTCCAACTCTCACAGTAACCCCACTGTCAGCATCATTCATTGCACACCATTCCTAATCCTGGGCATGATGCCTTCTTTTTTGTGTCTTGTAGGTGCCAGTGCCATAGCCACAGTCTTGGCACTAAATGCCCATACCACCAGAAAGAACTTCATCAACTCCAGAGGAGAAAAGTACCACAACCAAGGCTGTGTTATGGGAACACAGCTGGTTGAAGCAGGTTGGTGGCTGCCATGGAAAGCCAGGTCCTCCTGCACCCTCAGGGTCTGCTGGATAGGATGCAGAACCTGGACTCCATTGGCCGTGCTGCTGGTCCTCTGGACCAAACACAAGTTTACAAGGAAAGGAGGACCTTTAGATCACTTCAGGTGACCAGTCATCACATAGAGATAGGGCAATGCCAGGAGGCACCCAGCCAGATAAGGGACTACACACAGGTCCCTCAGACGTTGCTCTCAGGACACTCCAGAAGTGGTATGGCCTTCCACCTTCACGCTGCCTACTCCCCACTGGGCTCAGGTGGAGTAAAGGTGTTTGCACTGGAGTTACCGTGCCAGAGCCCCCAGGCTGACAGGTGACTCCCTCAACTTGCCTGATGACTGTTAACCAAAGACTTTGAGATTTGGCTGGCTGCCTGCTGCACATGCAGTGTGCTTGCCACATAAGCTGCTGGCACATGGTGCACATGTCAGATTGATGTAGCGACATGTTGTACTGCAAGATGTGTGCCCCTTGGATTGAGGACGGCTGACCAGCAAGACAGGTTCTCTGGCTTAGTGACTGTACAAAGAGGCAAGGTAAAGACAAGGCAACGCAGGGAAGGTGTGGGCATGCAAGGAGACACAAAGTGAGTGTACACTGACAGAGAAAGTGTGCAGCCCTAAAATGCAGCCTGGTCCAAACTACTGTCTATGCCTGTTACTATGAGC